AAAATATATTCATACGCATAAATGCCGATACCGTTGGCTACTTTTCTTTTATTTCCAAAACAAGCTGTAGAATTATTTGGCAATATTGTCCATTCATCACGATCCCTATTGTCTCGAGTAGCGTATAATGCGCGCAGAAATTGCGCCAACGCACGCCGAGCTTGAGGTATCCTCGCTCGCGTGCCTTTGAATATCGCGATCGCGGTTATCAATATACGCGTTTTTACCCGCGCTGTTAACAAAGAAAGCTTAAATTCTTATTTCGCCAAAGTATCGCGAACGTAAGCTTCGTCGTGACGGAACTATCATGCGTGAAAACTTTGTCCCGATCTCTTTCTCTCTTTGCGCTCCCTCGGAGTGGCCGGTTTCTGATTGTTTAATCTTTCCTCGCATACATTCGCGAATATTTCACGTAGATATCGATACTCCCACATTTTCGCGACTTTTCAGACGTGATCGCAAAAGCGCCGTAAAAATCCGTTGGACGAGTCGATAAATTTTCACATGGTTCTTACTCCTCGTCGATCGAGTTTATAGAGTCCGTTTCGCAGCGCGTAAAAAGTTTTCACCGATGTCGACGTTCGTTAATTGACGCAAATATCGCCGTTCTCATACAAGTACCGACCGCGTCGCGGAAGTGTGGCGAAAGTGTAGCAATCAACGTGGGACATGCTGCAATACGGTGCTGCGCGATATGGAAAGCGGCAGCGGACATGGGCGGACATTAGTGGATCTGGTTGGATGCAACGGGACATCATCAATATCATCATCGGTGAGCGTTTGACTCAATGCTCGCAGAGAGCTCTTTTATTATTACATTGTGCATGCCGCAAATTTGCATTGACTTTTGTAACGAAAAATATATTTTATGAATTATTGCCATATATTATGGCCATATATTATTGCCATTATATTATTGCCATATATTGTTGCCATATATTGTTGCCGTATATTGTTGCCATATATTATTGCCACATATTGCCATGTATTATCGCCATATATTATGGCCACTTGAAATCGCGCGAACAATCGAAAAAACTGAATTTGCCGATAATCGCAAAAGCACGCGGCAGACGTCACGGACGGATGACAGCAGCCCGTCTCAGGGCTGCCCGATAACAATGCTATTACTGCAATTTAACTTTAAACCATAGCGGCCTCTGGTCGCAAAAAACTTTCTATCGCGGACTAACCCCTCGAGCGGAATGTTCCCGAGAAGTGCTCTTGACATAAACGCTGGTTATAAACGAACTTGCCTCGTTAGGGCCTCATCGCGGTATCGTTGTCGCGGAAAATAAGGAAGAAAGGAGTTAAACATCCGCATCGTTGTGAAAAAGGGGCGATGGCGTCCCTTCGCGAGTAGAATTTTAGGCCTTTGCGAACGCGAGCGTTAAATTTCACCGCGGCTGCGAACGTCCCCCGACTAGTTTCTTCGCGGAAACTGAATATTCATAACTCGCGCTTGATCGTGTGTTGAGACTCTATAGAGGGTGGGAGATTGAAGCGGGAGTTGATGATATAAGTAGTGACAAAGTAGTCGCGCATTTTATGATCGCTCTTTAAAATGGGCGCTTCTTTCGTCGGTGATAAAGAAATCAGAGCTTGCTGCCGGTGAGATCGTAAAAACCGCATTGATTTTTCTTCCGTAGCTGCTCCCGCGACCTAATCCACGTTTAATCCGCATTACGATCATTTTTGCGGATAAGTACGGGGAAAGTGACATCCGCGGATAACTTTTGTCCTTTGAACCGATACGTCTCGTAAAGTTTTCCAGTTCTTTTACGCAAGTTCGTCGCTCGTACTTGATAAAAAATGTCCCGAGACGTGCCTACGAAAAATGTTGCACGTGGAGAATATTCAGCGCACGTACCATCTGGAAGTGAAATACCGTGAAGGAAACCATTCTCGTGCTAACTTCTCTAACTTATGCTTTACAAGTTTCGAAATCCATGAAAATTTCAAGATCAGATACTGCTTGTTTGAGGGAGGTTTTTAGACATTCTCTGTAAGAATCTTGAAGAGCGAGTATCGATTTTTTCGAAAGATTCGAGATGTAAATCCAAATCTGTTATTTATACGCATACGAGTGTGCGATTGGCTGAGGTTTTTCTCGGGGGCGAGTTTTGTCGTTTCAAATCTCGCAAGAATCGTATGAAGAAAGCTTGAGATAATTATACGCTCACGCGTGTGAAAACAACACACTCGAATTTGCAGCGACGACATAGCGGGGATATTTAGCGACTACCTTGAAATTTCCGATTAGATTTCTCGTCAGCCGTCGTTCTATCGCCTAGCTAATCCCGTCTCTTTCACTCGAGTGCCTAATCAGGGAAATTTTTCTGGTACGCTAAATCCCATAAGGCCATCAGTCTTTAGTCGAAATTCATTGGTTATACGGTTACGCGTTACTATGCAGAAAATATGTCATGGAATTTCAAACTGTATGCGCCTAATAACATCGTATGTTGGAGTCGGATATTATTAAACTTATATTACACTACAGGGATTATTTTTATGATTTATAATATTTATTCTAAACTTTAATATGATTCAACTAAAATGGCGCACGCGTAATACGTGCTTGTAGTGTTCTAGTGTTAAGCCAGCGGCACACAATGCTTGTTTTTGTGCTGGATTGCTTGCTGGATGAAAATACTGTGTTCTGATTGGTGCATTTCCATCCATCTTCGGAACCTCTTAAGAAATATATAAGTCAACCATCTGTTCGACAATGTTTTTCAAAATCAGAGACTTGGAATTGTAAAATGCCTTTTAAACCACTTTATTATGATTATTTTTGTCAAAATTGCAACCTGCTGAATTTAGTTTATATTTTGTGATCGAGAGAAATTATTGGGTGTACAAATTAGTTCGGTCCGTTTTCAAAAGATGGCTCCGGCTGTTATGAATGGTTCATAGTGACTGCCGATTTTGGCAGTTTCAGAGAGGTTAGACATCTGCCAATAATATTCAGTTTATATCGCTTTGAGTTTCATACAAAAACCTTGTTTTTTACAGTGTTGAAAATGTCGAATTTTGTGTTAACCAAACAGCATTTGCGGGAGGTTTTAATTTTCTGCTTTAATTGGAGGAAAAGTGCAGCTGAAGCCCATCGAATGCTTGTTGAAGTTTATGGTGACGCTGCTCCAACTGATAAATCATGTAGGGAATGGTTTCGACGTTTCAAGGATGGAGATTTCAGCGTCGAAGACAAGCCTCGCTCTGGACAGCCAAAAAAATTCGAGGACAAAGAATTAGAAGCATTACTCGAAGAAGATCAGAGTCAAACGCAAGAGGAGCTTGCAGAATCATTGGGAGTGACTCAACAAGCCGTTTCTGTACGATTGAGAGACATGGGATTTATTCAAAAACAAGGAAACTGGGTTAGGTTAAAAACTGAAACCGAGAGACATTGAAAGGCGATTTTTCACTTGCGAGCAGCTGATTCAAAGGCAACAAAGAAAAGGCTTTTTTGCATCGGATTGTAACTGGAGATGAGAAGTGAATATTCTACGACAACCTCAAGAAGAAAAAATACTACGCCAAGCCCGGTCAATTGTTGCCATCGACCTCAACATCAACACCAAAGCCGAACATACATGGTTCGAAGATCATGCTCTGTATCTGGTGGGACCAAAAGGGTGTTGTTTACTACGAGCTGCTGAAACCTGGAGATCCCATTACGGGCGATCGGTATCGGTTACAATTGATTCGTTTGAGCCGTGCATTGCGAAAAAAACGGCCAGAATACGAGCAAAGTTATTCTTCATGACAACGCTCGGCCTCATGTCGCAAAAGTCGTAAAAAAATATTTGGAAACGCTCAAATAGGATGTTTTACCGCACCCGCCGTACTCTCCGGACATTGCTCCTTCTGATTACTGGTTTTTCCTAAGGATGCAGCACGATTTGGCAGGTCACTGGTTCACTTCTTTCGCAGAAATCGAAAATTGGCTCTAAACTTGGATCGCCTCAAAAGACGAGTCATTTTGTCGAGAAGGAATTCGAAAATTGCCTGAGAAATGAGAGAATAGTAGCCAGCGATGGAAAATACTTTAATTGATCTGTTCATTCATTTTGTTTTGAAATAAATATATTTTTTAACACAAAAAACGGACCGAACTAATTTGTACTCCCAATATATAGATGAAAAAATAATTTATTGTTCTCGTATTCATATATATTTACTAAAAAATAAATTAAAAAATAAACACTCTATATATAGATTAATTTTTAAAATATCACACTAAATGGATAATAATGATAAATAACATCAACATACTTCATGTATTAAGAAATGATTTATTATCACAATATTATGCAATATACAAACTATTCATGTTAAATAATTTGTCTTACAGAAAATGATATAAAATACATATTTTTTTGTTCTTTTTTTGTTAAAAGGAAATGCATTTATACAAAATATTACAAATTATGTGTTCATATTTTGTAATAATTTTGTATCTAAATTATTAATTGAGTAGTTATGATGTGTTAAAACACAATCATTTCCCTTTTTGAAAAGCAAAATGTATTATAACATTCAACTAAATAGTATTTTATATCTATTATATTTTATATTTATTAAGCAAGAAATATATTGAAAAGATAAAAATGTATCTCTCTGAAAAATATGTTCTAATATAAATAACAAACTGCCACTGCAGATATAGATACAAGATATAGACAGTCTTACAAAAAATATATAGTTAATTGCAACATGAATTATTTCTTAATTTATAATGGTTAAATACCTTATATTACATTAGATTAAATTTTTTGTCTAAAAAATATTAAAAGAATGAAACAATCATATAAGAATATTACCCTAATAAATCAGTAATAATTTTTTAAATGAAATTTCCTATCTTTATTTCGTCTTTGTTTTTTTTTTCATTCAGCATCAACTATAATGCTAAAATCAAAAATTTGGAATGATTTCATTCTTAATTATAAAGATAGAATTTTCATACCCTTTTATACATTTTTTTGTAAATATAACATTCAAAAATTAGGTAATGCAGGGAAGTTGTACATATTTTGTGAAGTACATATATATATATATAATCACTGATAATTATATATTTATGCTATTTCTATGTTATAGCAACAGTTTTCAATGTAACATCTCAATTGACATTAATATCATTAACAGAAGATATTTTGCATTTTAATTTCTCTTCTAAAAGTCTCGTTCTCCCTTATATGTAAAGAAAATTTTATGGTTCGCTTTTTATATTTTATTTGCCTATTTTCTCTTAATCACTTCCTCAAATTGCTTTTCTTTAATCGAGTTTAAGCTTACTTGAAATTCCGATTTAGAAATATCTTCACTTTCGGGTTATTTATTTAAATATACAATTCATGAGTACGTCACGTCTCTGTCTTCTCAGATGATTCATTCTCATCTAATAATTGCTTCAAGTCTGACTCTGTGGCTTCAGTTGTTTCACCTGGCCTTTCAACTACTTCTATATCTGAATCTACAATAATAAAAAATTACATATACATTGATGTTATTTATTTCCTCTACGTTGTTTAATCAACATGAAAATTGAATTATTAAGACAAACATTGTAATATATATATATATAAATATAAAAGTATGTACCTGTATCTGATTGTGTGCATGTTTCCAATTCAGTATGTTTTACTTGCTCTTCTTCTGCAGTGCAGGACATAAGTTCAGATGTATTCGAAGTTGCAACAAAGCTACTATTATCGACATCCAATTTAGGAGCAGAAGGTTTTTGTTTCCTTGCAGGATTCCAAAAACCACAGTAACAACATCGGTATGCTGTGTATGGATAATATATTTTAATAAGATATATTCTCGAGAGTATGTACACTTAAAGGGTCAGTCTCATTGATATAATTTAAAAAATCGATTTATTTTATATTCTTTAAAAATTTAATGAAGGATTGAATTGATAAGTAATTTAATTATAACAAATATATCTTCAAAATAGTTCTCAAAAATTTCGAATATTTAGAAGATTATATAATTTTTATATAATTTATTATATAATTATATAATTTTTCCCGATAATGCGCATAGACAGGAAATCGCGAGATAGTGAGACAGATCAAAGCTGAGAATATAGTTATATTCCCTTATATTTCGGAAATGATAGAGATTTTCTTCTATTGTTATCCACTTTAGTTCTAGTCGAAAAAGAAAAAATTTTCAAAGAAATATGGTATCGCACAGGTGCTGCGAAGAAACAAAAGACTTGTTATATGATCAAAGATTATATAAATTCTGGAATAGCAGATTAAGCATAAGAATAATCTATTACCAAATATACGAAAAAACATTGCAGAAATTCTCATTTTTCTTAGAACAATGTTCTCAAGATTGCGAGGAAATTTTCTGAGTGAATATTTTAAAAATTTTGCACATTTATTCTTCATATATTTAGTTTTCGTACCACAATAGTTAATGTATGTAGATTTTTTTTAGATCTTTCTCTTTTTATCTTTATTCTTTACTCTTTCTTAATTACACAGTTGTAAAAAGAAGGCAAGGAAAGAAAGTCTTGATTACATTTGGCTGCCCTGTGTTTGTCAGTTTTTCATACTTTTATTTTAATGTGGTACAAAAACTTTAGGTACATTCGCACTGATTATAATTTCTATCATAAAACTTGAATATTTTTATTTACAAAACTTCACAAAATTTCTCGCAATTTCCATGTGTTATTCTGGAAATACCTTATTAAATAAAACTCAAAAGGAAAGACAGGAGGAAAAGCATTTTTTTCTTACATAACTTTCTTATTATATGTATGATAAATACATATGTAGATTTTATTCAAATGAATATAATACTTTTCCTTCATTCCACTCTAAAAAATCATGTAATTTTAGATCTCCTTGATGAAATCAACCCTTTAGAAAGAAACATTTTACTCACCAAAATATTCGAATTCTTCTTTTAGAGCCATTCCATTGTGTGATTCACATTGTCGACAAATTAATGCATAGCGGTTTGAAGGGCCATCACCTACTAAGTAATCGACCAAACGATCAATCACACTCCTCTGTTGTGACAACACAGGTCGTGGTAAAGGTGATCCTAAAGTCACATATAAACAATCTCCAATTATTTCAAATATATTCTATATAATATATATGAATTTTTATTCTATAAATATGAGTTTATTGAAATATATCTTAGAAAATAAAATATATTTTAATAAATTTATATATATATTATATATATATATATATTTACTTACGAAAACCTACATATGGGACAGGACTAATTGTTTTAGAACTAATTTGATAAGGAGTATTTGAAAGTTGTTTAGATGGCCCACCACTTGGTGTCGGTATACCAGAGGCACCACTTTGTGTACTTTGCGGCTGATTTTGTAATATATTTTGTGGCTGATTCTGTGTAGATAAAACTCTTTTTCTTAAGTCGCCAGAAACTGGTAAAGGGGTGACTGCGATTTGTGGAATAGGACGTCGAGGTGTTTCAGACGGTGCAGGGAATTTTGTAGTAAGCTGAGAAAAAAACATCAATTTTTTTAATTTTCATATTCTATAATTCATACATACTTGAAGATAATTATATTTCATATATATATTGCTTTCATAATTGTGTATCTGTGTATGTATATTTAATTTTTATATACACACTCATAAATATTACAGATTTTTAAGTACAAACCTTTGGACTTAACTGTAAAAGAGAAACAAAAGCAATGTGAATAATATTACATTTACAAGTTCTAAAATTTTAATTTTCAACTATGTAAATATATTTAAGAGTGACTGTATATAAATAATATAGGTCTACTCACAGGTGACATGTTTAATTCATCTGGTGCAAATTTTAACAATATTTCTTTAGCTTTCTTATACGTTTCTGTTTCAATAACTTCATTCAATATCTTCTTTTTCTCTCCTATAATCGTGGATAGTTTTTCTTGATTATGAGTAATTTTACGATTATAATACCATGAAACCATTTTCTTTGTTAAAAGTATCCTAAAAAAAGAAGACACGCTTGGTCATATTTCTTATATGCAAGTATTTTTATATTAAATAACTTTCATAATTATATAGACTTACAAAATTGGAAAAAATAATAATGGTGTTATATAGAAGAGTTGATCATATAATGAAGCTGGGAAGAAGCAGAAGTAAAAGATGAATGCTATCATAACATACAGAACAACTCCATAAATGATGATAGTCCCTACTATCTTTTTATGTTTTTGTTCCGTAGTTTGTCCATATTGTTGGATTTCTTTGATTTGCTATTAAAAAAAAGAAAGTTAAATATTACTTTATTGTATAACATTATGTATATATATAGTAACAATATATATGGTAATACATACTGCATCAAGATTCTCTAAAACTTCAATAGTGGTCTTCTTTTTCTAAAAACCATAAATTTTGTATCACAAATATACTTTATCAAATTGTTTAAAAATATAAGTATATTTTTATATATTCTGTAAATATTAACTTGAAAAGACACTATAAAAATAACCATGAATTAAGTCAGAAAAATAAATAATTGGTCAAATAACACACAAAGTTGGCCTTAAATTCTATATTTAGGTAATTTATGAAATTAACATAAGCATATAAAAAGATATAAGGTTATATCTAACCAAAAATATAGAAATGGAAATTAGTTAAATATATAATCGCATATAAGCAAATCGCAGCAAATCATATAAATGAAAATATTGACCTTGCAAAATAATAATAGTCATAGTGATCTCAATAATAATGGCTTATAACTTATTCTACTGATAAATAGATGTATATGTCAATTTTAGCAATAACGCTATATCACTCATAAAATTACAATGCTTATCTTTTTATAAAGAATTAATTTTGTCTACAATTAAAAGACACGATATTCAATTCAAAATTCAATTCGGTTCAGTTCAAAACACTAGCAAAGTAAAGCATTTGAGCACAATCCAACTTTACTTAAGCAGTTTTATTATTCACGCATCTGTAATGCATTGTCTTTTGTGATGCGAATGATTAAGACCAAAGTTCATTGAATGTTAATGTTCGATGTGATTCGTATTAAGCACGGAATAAAATTATCAGCCAATTTCGTTTACTCATGGAATGGTGGTAACCGAGAAATTGCATCATGCTATGGAACAGATAGCTAAAATCGATTCTCCGCGTTTTTACGCAGCAAAAGGAAAAACGGCGATGCAAACGCACACTGATTACATGTCCGTCACGATATCTTCGTAGCGACTTCTTATGCGTTCGAAAAAGTCCGCTTTCGCGCGCCAAAGCTCATGAAATTTTCAACTGTCAAATACGCCGTCATCCGGTAACGGACAAATGGATGCTATAAATAGCGGTGAATGACATTTAAAAATACTACTCAGCGATCGCTCGACGAGTTACGCCCAAAAAGATAGATGCTAAAAGTGCTCCCGCGCATATAGATTTGGCGACATGACGGTAACCTTACGTATATGGGCCACGATACGTCAGACAGGTGGACAATCTTGACACTCAGTCGTGTTGCTTACTCACCCGAAATCTGGACAATATTATCCCCATTATCGATCGGTTTACAGCGAAGGTGGATCACGCGATGAGATTCTCGTCAATCGTGCACACGTTGAACGCGATTCGCGCTGAATCCGACATAAAAGATCTTCCAGACGTTTCAAAATAACCCTCGTTCCTGCCCCACGAGCCGGCGGCTGCTTCTTTTGTCGTTGTCGTTGTTGCCGTTGCCGCTGTTGCTGCTCGGTGCGAATCCAAATTTAAATGGCGCGGTACGTTTTTATTCCGATATTTATAACTCAGATCGCCTACAAAATTCCTCGGCGCGTCACCCGACGTACGGCCGCTATCATATTCGGCGTGAAAGAATAAATGCAGGTGACGTCCCGCCAGCCATCCGTCTATCCGTAGTCAAGTCGTAGCGAACTAAACGGACATTCGTCTCACCTAAAGTCCGTGTCAAATTGTATACTGAAGACCAAGCATCGCAAAGTGTAGATTACAATTGGACCAATTGAGTGACTACAGTTCTGTGTTCACTCTATTCTGATTGGTCAATTTCCAATGACCAGTTCTCAATTCTCAATTTACAATATATGTTTTGTTACAAGCATAATGTACAAATAGCTCGAACAGAAAATTAATTCACTTCGAATTTCAAGAATTTAAAAAATACAGAGAATAGAAAAATTTTTACCTTTTTACATTTTAATTTTATTATCGTATTCTCAAAATGTGAACTTCTTTTATTATTTATTACTTTTTCTTTATATTTTATATGTTTGATAAAAAAAAGTATCTCTTTGTACACCGCATATAAATTATTATTACATAGCATATAAATTTGTACTTATAAATACTCCACTAGGTGGAATTATATTGTCTTTTTCCTTGAGCATTTATTTTTAAAATTGACAAGAAAATACAGTGACATATATTCTACATGTAAAAAGAAATGTTAATCATTAATAATTAGAATATACTCACTGTGATAAACATTTTTTAATCGTATCTATCGTTGATAGACAAAAATATTCTTTTTATATTTTAATTTTATTATCATATTCTCAAAATGTGAACTTCTTTTAGTATTACTTTTTCTTTATATCTCCTTTATTATTTCCTCAACGTTAAAGGGGGGAGAGGGGCTGATGATTATATTAAGATATCTACAGAGATGAGTCAATTTTTTATTATGCTCATAATATAATTGCTGATTAGCATAAAACATATAAGACACATCTTCAATGTAATTTTCATTTATCTATGGGACATGGATTATTTCATATCCCTCGAAAAACATTAAATGCAATAAATGCAAAACTGGAAATTTTATCAAAATTTAATCTGCTTCACTCTTACTGTTCTTACTACCTATGATAATTATGTAATTGTATTAATGTACAAAAACATACATGCGTGAAAAATCAATTCTATTTTACTAAATACAACAAAAAAAAAAATATGACTCATAAAACAAGTCCTGACTCTTATCATAGTCTATCAGATAGTGGTGTTAGGTAAAGAAGTTTCATGCATGGTCTAGAAATAAATAATTAATATTTTATCGTAGATTTTTGGATTAAAACTTTAGATCCCCTCTACGGTCTTTCGTTTCTTTCAGAATTTTCAACTTTTCGATCAAATCCTCCACTCCCATCTCGCCGTGCACCACGTTGTCTCTCGTCCTAATGTTCACTGTGCCAGCATTACGCTCTTTCTCTCCCACAACTGAAAGAACCCATATTGATATAAAGGCATTTTGCAATAGAGAAAATCACTTCTACCGCACAAGGAATAATATTATATTAGTTAGATTATAATTTTATCGAGCTAGTTCGGTACGTACCAAGAATAAAATTGAATTGCGCAAGTTGGGCATTGCGAATCTTCTTATTGAAACTGTCGTTTGGATCTACGTCGATTTCGACCATAATGCCAGCATCCCAGAGCTTCTGCTTCACCTGATAAGCATACTCATCAAGTTGAGACGCTACCGGTACGACCATCGCTTGCCGAGGTGAGAGCCAGAATGGCCATTTTCCCGCGTACGATTCGGTTAGAATAGCGATCATGCGTTCCACAGATCCTAGAATAGCTCTGTGTATGATCACTGGTCTCACTTTCTCTCCCGATTCGCTGAAACGCACAAAAATAATTAATTACACGGTTAAACTTTGGATTAAAACGCATGTCAGTTGTCAAACTTACTTGACATAAGACAGATTGAACCTAATTGGCAGTTGGAAATCCAATTGTATCGTGGCGCACTGATGAGCTCTTTTCAGAGCATCCCGAATGGTAATATCAATTTTGGGTCCATAAAACGCACCATCCTGAGGATTCAAGGTCCATGGCTCATCAAACGTGTTCAAACTGTCTTCCAATGCTTTCTCAGCCTGATTCCAAATGGCTATATCACCCAGGAATTTCTCAGGCCGAGTGGACAGACATAGATCGAACGTGAATCCAAAGACAGAATAGACATGCCGTAGGAAGTCGAGGGCGCTTAATATCTCCTTATTGATTTGGTCGACAGAGCAGAAGATGTGCGCGTCGTCTTGCTGAAACCGTCTCACTCTGGTAAGCCCCGTTAGTGCGCCCGACATTTCGTTACGGTGTAAAACGCCAAAGTCCGCTAATCTAAGCGGCAATTCGCGCCACGATCTGCTTCGAACGTCAAAAATCATGCAATGGCCTGGGCAGTTCATGGGTTTGAGTGCATAAGTCTCCTTCTCTACGTCAAAAGAGAACATATTCTCAGCGTAATGCTGCCAGTGTCCCGAAACTTGCCACAACTTGCTGTTATAGATGTTTGGAGAGATTACTTCTTGAAAGCCTCTCTTTCGATACTCGGAACGAATGAAATCGATTAAAGTGTTGTATATGTAAGCACCACGAGGTTGAAAGAAGCAGGAGCCGGGTGACAACTCATGAAAGAAGAACAGTTCTTGTTCCTTGCCAATCTTCCTGTGATCCCGTTTGGCCGCTTCTTCTTGCAACTTCTCCCATTCTTTCAATTGCTTGTTATCTGGGAAACTTATTCCATATAATCGTTGCAGAGATTCCGCATTCGCGTTACCTTCCCAATATGCGGAGGAGTTCTTTGTGATCTTAACAGCCCTGATTTTCCCCGTGTGCCTAACGTGTGGTCCCCTGCACAAATCGATCAGAGGACCACATCTGTAAGCTGTGGTGGTGGGAGTATGTATCTTCTCGTTTATAATTCGTAATTTGAATTCATTGTACTTAAACATCTCCAAAAGGTTCTCCTTGGTCATTTCCAGTCGCTCAAAAGGCTGCTTCTCTTTGACTATATTTTTATATAGACTTTCCAAGTATGGAAAGTCAGTATAGGAGATACCTTTGTCATCCAGATGCATGTCATAATAAAAGCCATTCTCAATAGGAGGTCCATAACATAGACAACCACCATATACTCTTTCCATAGCTTCTCCAAGAATATGAGCACTAGAATGCCAAAAGACTTGCTGACCTTCTGGGTCATCAAATTTCAACAATTGCAGCTTACAATCGCCTTCCAATGGCCTGTCAAGATCCCACAGTTCATTGTTGACTTTCGCAATCACAGTATTGTCTGCTAATCCTTGGCTGATACTTTTTGCAACATCATACGGAGTAGAACGCCAAGATTGAGCGCTAACTTCCTTGCCATCTGGGAGCATCACAGTTATATCAGCTGGAGTTCTTGCAATTAATTCATTCTCGTATTCTTTTTTCAGCTTATCCCATAACATAAGACGGTCCTGAAAAGTTTCATAAATAATAACCTTTCTTGATTGCACTAACTGTTATAAAACATCCTGCATAATTATTTGACATTTTGCACAAGTAGAAAATTGTGAAAAATCTGTCTGATATTTTGTCATATTATTTTCTGTGTGAGCTTACTTGAATGTATGTGGGCCAAGGATTAAGTTCAGACACAGAGTTTTCCATCTCAGCAGTCTTCTTCTTTTGCGCTGCTTTCATTTTCGTCTAAAATGAGAGAATCTCAAGTGAAATTAGCCAACTGGACAAGTAACGTGACAAATTGACATACGTCACGACCACCGCATGTTAGGTGACCTCGTGAGAAAGTGTATTCGTGGGTTGCGTCAGATTATCGATTGTTATAGTTAATAATTCATTAAGTTCACAAACAAATGATGCATGGCAATTTGATTTTACAATTAGACAATAACGAGTGAATTCAAAACCACAAATAACAATACTGTATAAGAAAGTAGGGTCAAAATACATCTTAACCAACCCGGGCATGTGTCCACTTAGTAACGCTGTAAACGGTTCTACAAACGTGAGAACGTAAATTTGTCAGCATAGTTTAATAATATTAAAAGATGAAAAGAACGCTAAAACCCGAATTGTATGTAAAGTTGAGAGATCGTGCCTTTTCGTCCGTCAAATTCAGATTTTGCACTTCAGATACTACGTTGTCGGTCATATTGGATGGTGACACTAATCATATGAAACTATACGAGTGAACCACAATAAGAGATTCACCGCGTGCTACAGAGCTACTTATATACACATCACATAATGAGCGTTTTGTACGTTCTTGGATTTAATTGGTGTATACTTTCAGATCAAGATTTAAAAATGCACCTCAATCAAATCCGAAAATTTAATGAATACTTAGTGAGTAATTTTCACATTGAATATACCTACTGCGTAAGTATGTTCGATTATATGCGAGAAAAGTTATTAAATTTAATTTGAGATAACGATGAATCTGATACATTTAGTATGATGCAATAAATACTGTTCTCAACTTGTCTTTTATTGTATTTTAAATGATAGAATATATTTGCATGTTGAAAGAGAGAGAGAGAGAGAGAGAGAGAGAGAGAGAAAAGGAAAATAGAAATACTGCAATAAAGTGTAAAAAGTGTAATTAAATTGGAGAGATCAAAATAGAAACGTAGAATAGAAAAGAGAAATAACGTGTTTGGAAAAATGAAAAAGAAAAATTAACAATGAAAAATATATGTTTTCTTTCATAAAGTATACAAAAGAAATATCATTTATATCAAAATTTAATTAACCTAAGTTACATTTGATCTTTCGTTTCTCTGATTAATTTTAGTCTTTTGTTTCATATATATATATTTAAATCCGATACATATTTTATATATATAGAATATACTTTTAATATATAAAAATAAAATATATAAATTAGAGAAATAAAAAATTACTCGATCCTGCCAGGATTCGAACCTGGAATCTTCTGATCCGTAGTCAGACGCGTTATCCGTTGCGCCACAGGACCTTCTTGTCCTCTATGATTAAAACCAATGTTTTGCGGTACCAAATATATTCTATAATTACAACATGTTTGCTATATCTATTAAGAATTTTGTTTAATTATACTGATGTGTATATATTTTTTGCTTCTTTGTAATATGTTAAGTTTAACATAAGGCATATGATTTTCTAAGTTCAACGTGCATATGAATGTACAAAGTTCTGTTATAACAAATTGTTTCAAATTTTATAATTTTTTTATTCAAAAAGAGATATAATAAAAATATGAAATAAGTTTATACATATAACATTTAAATAAAATTTAGATAACAGACATATACAGTAAACTCTGCAACATATTGGAATATAAAAACATATAAATTTGGTTTTTGTAGACACATTCATCTTCTAGTATGTTATAAGATTGTAAGATAAGATATAATTATGTAAATGTAAATATAGATTTTATTGACATATTTGAAAATTAAATTTAAATGGAGTTTGAGTTTTATCAATATTGATAATCTGTTTTGCGCTGACTGATGTTTCTTGTATTCTATGGTCATTTGTTTGTTCTGGATGATTCTGTTCACTGCATTTGGCAGCTTTTTTGATAAATACTGATTTTTTATTAATTGCAGCAGGATTTGTAAACATGACATTTGATACAGTTTTATTAAGCTTCCGTTCATCTTCAGCCATTTTATCTCTATAGTTTCCCAATGTATTTCTCATTATTTGTCTCTTCTTTATTAATGGTGCAGTATTGCTCTTTAATGAACGTAAATATTTATTAAAATCTTGCACTTGTTTCTCTTGTAATTTGCTATTAGCTAAGCTGGCTTCTAATTGTTGTATGCACCAACATAATTCTAATTCAAATTGATCCTCTATTTCTGGATTCAAACCACTTGTACTGTCTGCAGTTGCTTCAGGAGAAATACGTGGCTCTGATGTACATTTTTTATTTTTAGTGCTACGTTTGGAATTCTGAAATAAAATGTAATACTTTAAAGTTGTTATCAAATTATTTCAATAATGTTTTTAATATCTAAATAATATCTAAATAATAAAATATGAAGTTTTCTATTACCATTGCAGATTTTGGTGGCATTTTTTTCCAATAACGAAATTATTTTCTGTTTTATTAGTTTATGTTGTCCCAAAGTAATAATACGTTACAGAAAATTGATTTATAATTAAAGTTAATCTTGTATACTGCTTCACTTTACAATACAAGAATATCAGGTTATGTATAGCATGAAATAACTACAGACCTTTGCGTAAATCGCGCTACAACCAAAACCTTCGAAGAGTAAACGCAGACTGTTGATTGACTGCAATTTGCAATGGACAGGTGGTACCTGCGCACGCACTGTGAAAGAACATTTTTGAAAACTAACTAGATCTTTAGTTTTTTTGGACATATATTCATTGAGCACTGATAATTGTTAGGCCGGGTCTACAATAAGTGTAGTAAGCTTTAAGCCTTAAGAAATTAACCAATCCTAGTCGACTTTTACAAGAATAATCGAATAAGGTTAGCCAATTTCTTAAAGCTTAAAGCTTACTACACTTATTGTAAACCCGGCCTTAAGCCCGGTCCAGAATAGGTTGCAAACACCTAGTTGCGAGTTGCGAAGAATGGCAACTACTAGTTACAAAGTGTTATTTTCAGTCGTAAGATAAGTTGCGGTTGCTAAAAGAGAGTTGCCCAACTTTTAACTTCTTGGCGACGGCAACCGGCAATCGCAACCGTCTCTTACAACCGAAAATAGCATTTTATAACTAGTAGTTGCCATCTTTCGCAACTCGCAACTGGGTGTTTCCAACCTATTCTGTCTGGACCGGCCTTTTTGATTTATGACGTTTGTAACGCAAAGAAGAATAAGTATGCAAAATAATATGGATTTCTTGCACATATGCAAAATAAGCTTTCAATGATACCTAACAAAAAAGAGCGCAATAAGTACAATAGTTTTGGTAGACTCAGCTAACGTTTAAATTGGGTTGCAGTTGAGATATGTAAAAAAAATCGACATTAATATAACTTAATATTTCTACAAATTAATAATAAATTTTGCTATTGAAAAAAAAAGAAAATTAGAGAATTTTATATGATATTCTTTTTTTCTTGTTACACATTTTTCTAGAGCGCATGCGCTGAAAAAAACGAGATGGAGTAATATGACTCGGTCATCATTGCCGCCGGGTTTTTCACTTTGCTAATATTCATAGGCAACCTAAATTTGCTGCGCTTGCGCATCGAACGTGGCCTCAGTAAAGTGCATAGTTCATGTCAAAGAGTGCTGAATATGACCACTCGTATTTGACCATTCTTAAAAACTTTATTCGAAAGCTGAAATTTGAATGTAAACATTTCAATTGCTATTTTCAAATTACAAGCTCTTGAACTTAAACTTTAAAGTGAAGATAGCGAAAATAACCAAATTGCAAATTTAACGATATACTATTTTTTGCCTCGATCCAGCACTGTTCGCGCCTACTGGCGAATGTAGTCACCGCCACCAGTAAGTACAGCGAACATGGAGCCGATCGCACACCTCGTGAAAGTGTCTGTTCCGAATTATCTTGCTGGCCTGCCGATTCCTGAATCGATAGGCGGCTGGTTTCGTCTGGGAGGTAAAATTTCATTCACTCTTCTCGTAATTTGCTTTCGAAAATCATGTTTTCGTTTTAGCATTTTTCGCACTTTGACCTAACCTGCCGATTTTTTTCTTTCGCCTTCGAACATTCAATCTTCCCAATTAATATGACTCTTTTATTTTCTCTCCATGCCAGTAAAGGACTGGTTCGCTTTGATACCGCCTACCGCAGCTCTTGCCGGACTCGGATATATGTCCTATCGAGCATTTTGTCCGCGTGCCAGGCCTGCGGTAAGTACACACGAAGAAACACCCGTTATATCAAGGACGATAGTCACTAATATCGGCCTTTGAGTGTGAGTGACTTGATACGATTATGTAACTTCTAAATATTTCTTTTTAAAAATCGCGTTTGCAATAAACTTATTATTGCAAAGCGTCAAGACGAGTCAATATTCTTTACGATCAAACTTTTGCACTTCCGCAATGTTTTCAAGAGTTTTCCATTTTTCATTTTGAATGCGTGTAGGTCCGTTCATTTTAGTTGCACTTCTTGCACTTAAAGTGGAGCAAGTGAAGGTAATTTTATGTATACTCGACTCGAGGGTGCATGAGTCAGATGTAACAAAGTGCATAAATGCAACTAAAGAAAGATGTTTTTTATGTGATTTGAGCTTTCTTTTTATCATCTGTATGGTTCAGTATTATCGTTATAAATGTTGCTTTGTAACTTTATGGTTAACCATCTATAATTTCCTATTTAATTTCTCTCAAGTGCAGAAGATGTAATACGTTTTTTCATAAGAAAAATTAAATTTAAAATCAAAAAAGCATACTATATTCGCTATACCAGTAAGGATCCTGAGATTGAATAATCTCTAGATCCACAATATAAACTATTTTTATAGGTTAGGTCTTTTCAGTATACTTCCTTTATGTATCCTTATAGGTATATAGGTATAACTATACCTATATTATTATTTATACATACAACATATACAATGAAGAAAATAAATATACATGTATATAAATATGAATATATGATTGAAGCCCGGATAAAATGCGTTAACACGACATACCATTCGATCTTTCACACTAAGCGCTAACAAATGCCGACCGGGAGGTAATGGAGAGAGTGACAGAGGGAGAGAGTATCGATTTATCGTTGCCCCTTATTCTGTGGCGCTAAATACAAATGATTAAACGGTACACATTGTGTTACGTGCTGATGATATCTATGTGAAATTTTACAAAAACTGGACTTACAATCGAGTTATAATATTACAATAATTTATTTTTGTTCGGTATGATTAACAATTCCTTTTTTGGTATAATAATCTCAATAAGTAATAATACCCTGTATAAAATGTCGAATTGAAACGTATTAAAAGGTATTGACATTTTGAATACGTCTGAATTCTGCTTTCTGATCCGAAGAAAGGGATTGAAAAGTGTTAGTTCCCATTAAATTTCACTGCGCTAAATGCAAGACGGCAGTGGTGAATGCTTCGCATTAAAAAGGGTTTAGTTCGTTTCAAATATGCCTTGCATTCAAGTGCAATCGATAATTTCCAAATGTGAACTTCCGCATTGAAAAGTATTCACTTTTTCTCCTAATTGTTTTCGGATTTAGAGGCATACAATATTTTCACATTCTATTCTCCCTCGCATTGAAAAGTATTGGCCCGTGATCCAATCCGAGATTTCGGCAAAGCAGAATTCATGACAAAATCTCGTAAATGCGAAACAATATTTTTAAATACGACATTTTATACAGGGTATATATAAAAAATTGAAATTGTTTGTTGTTTAAATTTATGTTGTTTAATTGTTTAAATTAATTCTTCAGGCTGTTCTTCCTATTGTTGCTGTTCTTTTTTACGATAATACACATACACGCACACACACATACACACATGTATGCTTAAGATATATCAATAATAGAAATATAAGAAACTATTAATATATTGCATTCTTCTCTCTCTCACACATAGCCAAGTGGATTAGTTAATCTGAAAGTGAAGAAGGACGTAGCAAAAGTAGTGGATACCGTTGACATTGAGGATATCTCCGAGAAAGCTGTATTCTGTCGTTGTTGGAGATCTGAGAACGTAAGTTCCTTCTATCAGAACTGTAGCAAGTGATACATAATCTCGAGGTTCCGTTACGTTTTTAACCTACTTAGCTAGATTCCAAAAATATGATTGCAAAATGTCTGCCGGGTAATAATAGCACTCAGATTCAAATTGACGCGCCTTCTTGAAGCAGTGAGATTTCTCAAAATTTAATAATCGTGTGTATATTATTTTTTATTATATCTTTTATTATATTTATTATATATATTTGCATATATGTTATATGCTTTTTCAATTATTATTTCTACGCATATTTATTTCTCATTAGAAAATTATTTCTTGATTGATATTTAAAAAATATGTATAACTTTTAATTATCTTTCGTATGTTACTAATTTCTAAGATTTATATGTTGTTGACGCATATGCAATCCTATAGATATATATTACAACCATTTTTCTTATATTGACTTTATTTAGTAAAGCTTATAACAGTGGCTGCGTTCAGTAGAACAAAATGATCAGTGAGCGCTTAGTGATTATTGTCTGTGATTGGAACATTTTTTAGATTCTTCATAGACCCAGAAGTACCAATCAGGAGCGAGAATCACTAAGCGCTCACTGATCACTTTGTTTTGCTGAACGCAGCCAGTGAGTTACACAGGTTGCGTGAAAAGTTCGCGGAGCGGCATCTATAAGTAAACGGTAGAATTATAAATTGTAGTCGGTTATATAGAATCACTCTTCACATGAACCTAGGTTAAGTTTCATTTCCATCTATCAATTCTTTCTGTGCTTACAAGCCAATCGAAGTTGACGTATCAGTATATTTGTTTGCAATGGAAAATTTGAAACAGCGTGCAGTGATTGAGTTCTTTGTTAAAAAAGGTTTAAAGGCAATGGAAATTCATTCCGAGATGGTAAATGTGTTAGGGGAATCTGCTCCTTCAAAAACAATGGTTTGTAAATGGGCACTTGAGTTTCAACGTGGTCGTACAAACATTGAAGATGATCCACGCAGTGGACGTCCAAAAAGCGCTTCAACACCAGAAATCATTGAGCAAATACATGTTATTGTTTCTGAAGATCCACGTGTGACTACGCGTGAAATTGCTCATACTATAGGCATTTCAGATGAACGGGTACGGCATATTTTGCATAAAGAATTACAAATGAAAAAGGTGTTTGGAAAAGTGGTGCCGCATACGTTAACAATTAAACAAAAACTCGCTCGAAAGCAAATTTCTCAGCGTCATTTGGATTGTTTTAAGAAGAATAAAACCGATTTTATGCGTCGTTTTATAACTATGGATGAGACTTGGATCCATCACCATGATCCTAAATTGAAACAGGAACGTTTACAGTGCACTGAAGCTGGATGTTCAGCTACAAAGCAAAAAAAGCATGAAAGATTGGCGAAAAAGGTTTTGGCATCAGTTTTTTGGGATGCTAAAGGGATTTTGTTAATAGACTATCTGGAAAAAGGTAAAACAATTAACTCTGAATATTATTGTAACCTTTTGGATCAATTGGACATAAAAATTCGTGAGAAAAGACCTGGTTTGCGGCACAAACAAATCATTTTTCACCAAGACAACACACCTGCTCACAAAAGTGTTTTGTCAATGTCTAAATTCAATGAATTGAAGTACAAATTGCTTGATCATCCACTGTATTCGCCAGATTTGGCACCCAGCAACTTCTATCTGTTCCGAAACCTGAAACAATTCCTCTGTGGAAAGCATTTTTTGTCAAATGAAGAAGCTATAGCAGCTGTAGAGGCATATTTCGCAGACCTTCCAGAAACACACTTCCGCGATGGAATAAAATTATTGGAGAGCCATTGGGCCAAGTGTATTGAAGTTAATGGAGACTATATTGAAGAATAAAATCATTTTTAGAATTAGGTATTCTTTATTTCAGTTTCACTCCGCGAACTTTTCATGCAACCTGTATAACAATTTTTCTTAGAAACATCGTGTATAGAGTTTGTCGTAAAAAATATACATTACTTTTTCTTAAATAATTTCTTTCATACAGTGGCCCTACTGCGATGGCAGCCACGGACGTCATAATAAGGAGCACAACGATAATGTAGGCCCGCTCGTCATCACAGATAACGAAGGAGATTAAGAAAAGTGCCAGCCAATGTTGATCGTTTGCCACAATCACTGTAAGATAGCTACTTCAGATAAAGTGACAAGATAAAGATAAAGAAACAAACAAATGCAGGGTGCATTTCTCATTTTGTTGTACAGTATAAAATAAATCAATTTGAGGGGAATAATTCAATTATACAGTGTCGATATCAACAGTTAATTAGCATTTAATATTTATTCTTATATTTTAGCTTATATTTAGCATATAGCTATATATTAGCTTATATTTATAGAGACAATAACATCGGTTTTGAAAATGCATTTTTATACTATGCGCAAGTGACATTGTAATTTACGCAAGTGGTTAATCATATATGAAAGTTGTATATATCTGTTCTCTATAAAGAAAGTGACATATACAAAAACTACACATAAAAATTATGAACATTATATAATTATTCACTTTCAAGTATGCTGCAGCGAAAAGTTTATGTAATAGACTAAGAATTATTTCCCTTCAGATTGTTCATTTGTCAGTTGTATATTATAGATAAATTTCTTTGTCTTCTTATTTTTTAAACTGCGGTTTCTCGGAAGCATTTTTAAATAAATTTATCCCATATTTGGTGATCTTATTCTCATGCGTTATTTAATATTTTACCTGCAAATATCTATATTTCAAGATTTAATTAAATACATCAATAAACAATCCTATCCCAAAGATGAGATCAAATATTCAATGTATAATTATTGTTCAGTGGAACTGTGTGTGATATACACACTGAGAGAGAGGGAGAGAGAGAGAGAGAGAGGGAGAGAGTATTCTGTGACTGTATGCTGCCTTACGACAATAAAATTGTTTTTGATACAAATACAATCATAATACAATTTATAAAAACAATAACGATACAAATACAATACATTTACAAAAACAATAACAGTACAATTGTTACAAAGAAACATACGAAAACATTCATCCATTATACATTTTTTTTTAATTAGCCAAGTGTTGTGATGTTTTCATCTGTTTATTTGCGAGCTGTAAATCGAAACTTCATACTGCAATATTTTTTAATAGAAATATCTAACCAAAAATGTTTTGAATAAAACTAAATTATATTCTTTCGTAGACTCAAAAATATGATTTTATATAAGAGTTCCTCCTATTTAGAAATTTAAAGTTAATTCCTGGAGGAGTTAGGAGACTAACTTTATTTCAGTTTAAAGGATCTTCAGGTTTATACAGTTCAAAATCCCAACTTTTAAATATAGACGATTTAAATATAAATGATGAAATAGTTCTTGAGAGATATCGGATTGTAAAGAATTATATGAGCCAAACTGTATATTTCATAATAAAACATAACAAATATAAATAATAATATTAAAGAAATTTAATATTATAATGTTTATTTCAATATATATGTTTATATTGTTACATTCTCTTAGATAGCCAAACCTGTAAAAACAACTTTTGCATAAGTATCTACTGCAGATTCTATCAGTAGCTTATTAGCAGAAATATAACAGGATCCGATGACAAAATATGACAGGACTAATGGCAGAAACCAAACAGGATCTGTTGCTTCAATGTATTTAAACGAAAATTACTGCAAATTTTGTTCGTCTTCTGCCGTCAGTCTGCTGTTAAATTCTGTCAGTATACTTTGTGGACAGAACATGAGCCAAAAGCGGATACAGATGTCTATGAATTGTCAACAAATCCTGATCAAATCCGTCAGCAAATTGCTAATTAATTACTTACCAGAGTTATTATTAATTTCTTGTCGTTATTATTGCTTGTTTCCTCCTTTTCGTTTTGAAACAAATATGATAGAATAGTATGCATATATACTAACAAAATATATATAAAAGAATGTTTTTAAGACATCACGAAGACATTAATTACTAATTTTAAATAAATCCAATTAACTTCTAGCAATGCAATAAAAGATAATGCTAATTTCCGTTAAATACACTAATTGTTTTGTAACAAATTAACTTTTTTTGAAAAAATGGTACTTGCAATATATTAAAATGAATATATTATTGTATCATTAAAAAATATTTTATAATATAGGACTGAATGTAAACCGAATATTAAATAACAATATTTGATAATTTGTTTCAATAATATATTTAACATTGGTAGGGGATAATGCTTTAGATTTATAATATATTGTAATATAATATTATAATATAAAAAAATATAATATAATATTATATAATATTATAATTATATATATGTACATTTAAATTTATGCGCATATATTACAATTGCTAAATTTAAGTGTATCATCAGTCTGTCAAGATTTATATAGATACATAATTATTTATCTATATGAAATTAATTATTTCATATAATGCTAGACCAAAAGCATTACTTTTATATAGAAAAGCGAGCCATCAATATGTTCTTTGTTACTGATACATTTTCTTATGTATTATTACATTATTACATATGTATTATTACGTGTATCACATATTGTATGTAATGTCTCAATATGACTCATATAAATTAATAAAGAGAAAATTGATGGCTTCCACAATTTAATTTTGACAACAAATAGATAAATATTATAAATAAACAATATAAAATCTTGCATAAAATCTTAGTTACGAATGCAAATAGTAAATGCTCCTGCACAGTTCATTATAATTCATTACAAATTAGTCTGAGGATAATCATTAGCAGAATAAGTTTTTCATAATAATAAAGTGAGAGATACAATATAAAAAAAATTACAAAAGAATAAAAAATTATAGACTAATCATAGATTAATATAAAAAAATATTATTAAATTATTCTTTCACCACTGATTTTAATTCAAATCCTGACAATTAATATTTTACGTTCTTGTAATTAATAAGAAAAATAATTTAATAAGAAAATATTTTTGAGATAAATATTTTGGACTTTAGATAAATTTTAGGAATTTTCAAATTAGGCAAAATATAAATTGTCGAATCTATTTGTCAAGAAACATAAACATATCTTTTATCATTGCTCATGTGCATTTTTTGTGAAAACCATCAAATATTTTTCTGGTATTTATTATTTATAAAAACTATATAAAATATGTAATATATGGTAAAATGAAATTGTACATAAAATGAGTATTATGGAAATTAAAATATCGTTTACTAAATTTTTATATTGTTTGCATAATCGCATAATTTATGATATAATGCCTTTAGTAAAGTTTCGGGCTCTAGAGAAGTATATTTTACAGAAGAATGTTCCTGTAAAAAATAAGTTATTATTAGTGACAAGTAATATAATTTATATTCATGTATTATAATCAGATGTGTTGTATGTGTGTACGCGCATATGGATATAAATATAATAAAATCATATGCAATATAATGAAAAGAATGATATAAAGAAACAAATACATATATTTGTAAATATTGATAATAACTTTTAAAAGATATAAGTGTTAATGTTTTGGTAAAATTGTTTCAGTTAAAATCTATGAATTCATATTCAATGAATAATTCATTTTAATATTTATTTATAAGTTGGAAATGAAATAATATTATAATGAATATATTTGTATCAATATATTTAATATCATAATAAAGTAATGTAGAATATATCAATGGTTGTAAATCTTAAAAAAGAAAGGAGATATGTATGTATATATATTTTACATTTATATTTTTTGTACAATTGTTTCTCTTAGATTATTTATATTCAATTTGTTTATGATATTGACTGCATTGAGTGTGTATGTAACATATTTTACTGATGTATATATATTTCACTTACTTTTTCTTCTAAGTCAAATTCATTAAGGTTTTCAGCAGACTCAAAGCGGGGATGATAGCGACGATCCTTGGAATTCGTCATCCTAAATATTGATTGTTGATTTAGTATGAACGAATAAAATTTAAAGATTATATTGTATAATATGCTACATATAAAAAGTTAATAATTTGTAAATATTAAAATTAATAATCAAATATCATTAATTTTACGAGTATTAAATTGTACTTACTCATTATCAAAATTATGAGTTTCATAGATTTCGATTAGGAGAAATAATATTATTATTAAGACTATTGTTAGTAATATATGCGCATTTTTTAATATGAATTTTTGTATCCTTTGTAGGAATGAAGTGCTTGTTAATGTAATATAATCATTATTTGTTTCATTCATAATTGTATCTAAAAGAATAATATACACAATATATTATTTTTCTACAAATAATATATACACGTTTAAAAATAATATAGATTAATGATTAGTGATGTTTAGGAGATTCATTTCTGATGGTCTTAATCTTCAGATATATTATAAAAGCCGCCTTCTTGAGTAGCCTTTAAAAAATTTGAGCTGTCGTTCACTGTTTATTAAAACGTTGTTATCAAAAGTTTCATAAATGAAAAATACTTCTTCGTCACAATATATATATTTTTTAAATGGTAAACAGTATTTATATATGCGCGGAAAGAATTATTATAGAAATGTGCCATAAACATATCAATAAATAAAAAATCGATTCTCTATTGAAAGAAAAACTTTGTATTTCATTTATATAAAATCAAACAGAAAAGAATCGATTTAAAAAATCAATTTTCGAAAGAGATCAATTTTTTTTAATGTTTTAAATCAAGATCACTCATTATTATTTTAATGTACCTTTAAGAAAAATTTGAATAATTTAAAATTTAATCTCGTAACTTGTGTGGACTAATTAAAAATAATAAGTGACATACTAGTTTTAAGATCCTGAACTTTATCATCCTTACGGGAAAAACACTCAAATATTGAGTGCAGATATTAAATATTTGAATGCTTTTTCCGTAAAGGCAGTTATATTTGAATAACAAATGAATGATTTTTAAATGTCGTCCTTACTATATTTTTTGGATAAATTCTCGTTTCTGTCTTTATCTCTTGTTTTATTGTCCATTCTTCCTATATTTTGCCAGTTTCCACCATTGCACACATAGGTATCTTGTAATAAAAATAATATATTCTTAAACTATCAATTATTATCAATTATATTAGATTATTATTGATAAATTAATTAGAGATTCTAAATTATATTGGCCTATACTTATTTATTTATTCTTAGGATATGAATATAATAAAAATATATTTACCTTTTTGAATGTATAAAGCCTGCATTTCATTTCCAACTATATTGAATGGATACGGGATGTGCGTTATTGCAATTTGAAAAACCTGGAACACTTTTTGCGTGATAGATATTAAATTTCATTCAATATAATAATAAAACATAATTAGTAAATATTAATCTTTTTTTTATATATAATTAATATGCTATATATAAAAATCTAAATTGCAATTTTGTAAATTTTGTAAAATTTTGTAAATATTTTTGAAATTTTAACTTATTTAATTGAACTAATTTAATATTATTTAATATTAATAAGAATATTATAGTTCATAGAAACATTTTTAATTGAATATTTTGATAAATATGTCAAGTCCCTTACAAGTAATTATAATCGCAAATGAGATGAACCATGGTGCTCGCAAAACAATGTGTATCATGATGGGCAAATTTTCCTTCAATAAATTTGAGAAAATAAGCAATAAAATGTTCTATATAATTGAAAACGATTGATAGATTATTCAGAAGTGCAGAAGTTTTTCCCACAGTTGAACTGTCCGTATGTGAGAGATATGTTCCTGTAAACATTTACTTAAACTAAAATTTTCACAATGTGAGAATTGATTGTTTAAGAAAGCAATATGTCTTGTGATTTTATATATAAGTCTTATCAATAGAGCGTGACAATGTTTGATCGGTAGCAACATCGCTTTTTGCTAGTTCTGTGTATAGATATCTAAAGACATGCGAAATATATGATAAATTGCTTTAAACTACCACGTTAAAAATAAAACTACATAATAATATATATATTAGAATTAAGTTGTTGGAGCGAATAAAAGATAGATATTTTATAGTAGCAATGGCTTCAATATATACATACGTACATACCTCTGCCAAACCAAATGAAGGACTGTTTCTCAGTCACCTAATGTTGTTATATTCGCAAGCTTCCGAAAATATTCTAATTTCGTTATAAGATATCCATCTATTGTCGTATTATTATTGCTGCTTACAATCTTCTTCATTTCACTTTGAAGCGTGAGTAACGGTATACATGACACGAGATAATGTGTACATATACCAACATGTCAAAAGTATGTACACAAGTGTTACTATGTATGTTTGTGTGTATATATACTTTTGCTTCAAAAAAAAAAAATATATATATATATATATACAGGGTGTCCCATTTAACCTGACAAATCGTAATATCTGGAAAACTACATGTCGGATCAAAAAGAGTGGGTAATGAAATTTGTTCGTCTCGAAGGGGGACATCAAATGATATCAAACTCGATCTCCCATCCCACTCCCGGGGGTGGAGGTGGGGGGCAACTTTGAAATTTTAAATGGGAACCCCCATTTTTTATTGCAGATTCGGATTCTACGCTACAAAATACGTAAGTTTCGTCCGAAACTTTTTTTTTTGATTCGTGATAGATGGCGCTGTAATTGCAAAAAATTATATTTTCTGCAATTCTCCAGAAATGATCATTGGATTGAAAAATAAAAAAATACCTGTTCAATATTTTTAAAAAACATAATAACAGTTATTCCCCCCCATCCCCTCGGGGTAGGGTGAGTGGTAACGTTCAAATCTCAAATAAGAACCCACATTTTTCATTGCAGAATTAGATTTTACGTGAAGTTTTTATGGAAACAATTTTTTTCATTCGTGATAGATAGCGTTGAATTTTTCCGAGAAACTACTTTTAGCGTTACCCAGGAACAACGACGAGGACGTAGTAGCTTTCTGTTCCCTTCGGGGTGCTTGTTTTAGGTGAGTCCCCTCGTCTCTCACCATCGGGGTGATTTTGCATAATTAATTTGTTAGTGGCATCTCTCCATCGTCCGCGCCCATAAACAAGCACCCCCGGGAGTGGGGTGGGAGGTCGAGTTTGATATCATTGGATGTCCCCCTTCGAGACGAATAAATTTCATTACCCACTTTTTTTTATCCGACATGTAGTTTTCCAGATATTACGATTTGTCAGGTTAAATGGGACACCCTGTATATATTTCTGTTTAATATATATAATTTCTATAGTTCATTATGAAGATTATCAAAATATTACAAGATATTCCAATCAAAAAATATTAGATTCATTCTGAATGTGTCCATTATGTCCAGATCATAATTATGAATATATTCAGGATAATCTTAAAATATCCTATGCTATCTTTCTTGTTCTCTTTTACATTATAATGCAAAGGTTTAATAAAAACTATTTTTAATAGGATTATCCCCAGCTTATAAATACTATCATTATTAAAATCATTATTATATCATATACTTTATAATATTATAAAATATATAATAATTAATTAGTTTTTAATATTTTGACTATCTTGTTCTCATAAAAAAGGCACAGGAAAACTGAGGCACCCAAACAACTTTTTTAAATTAGTATTAAGATAATTCAGAATTTAGATAATAGTGTAATATAATTATTAAGTAACATAATATACTACGAATAATATAACAGTACAATAAATTTACATATAATGACCAGCATCGATTTGAAATTTTTCAACAAACTTTTTTCTTTCTTAATTGAATTTGGTAAAAACTGATAATATATAATTAAAATATAATATATAAAATTAAAATATATATATTAAATATAAATATATAATATTAAAATATAATGTAAATTATATATCAATGATAATAAATCAATAAAAATGATAATCATAATAGATCATAATAGATAATAATCAATAAAAATGATAAATCAATAAAAAAAATGATAATAAATCAATAAAATATCAATAAATTATATATAAATGATATAATCACGCTCGATTTTCGTTGATAGTATTATGTATGATTTTTATCGTAATTTATCATTTTTACGAACTTAATATGATTAATAATGCAATTTGGGAATTTTGTTATTAAAAAATATTTTTTGCTAATAGCAACATTGTGATTAATCCGCGTTGAAAATGTATCATTTCCTTCGCAGATCCACAAGCTCGATGGGTGCCATTGCGTCCAACTTACAATGCTTCGCTTTCTGAAAATATAATATATCTGACTAATATATATCTTTTATTTTCCCTTTCAGAAGGGAATTAAGAAAATACAATAATTTTGACAGTTGTAAGCGATAATCAGAGAAATAATAATTCGAGAAATTTAAATAATTTTAAAATATAGAGATTTTTCATAAAATTTTCTTTTAAGAAAGAAATGTTTTTAAAATATAGATAATATTTATGTGAATATATATAAAAATGTGTTAAATCATTAATTTGTCAAACTTACCATGTATAACGGTGGTTCAGTAGGATGAGGATGGAACCCAGTTTCTCTACAATTTGCAATAAAATCCAAACCATAATCCAGTGTCAAGATAAAGAATCCCGTTCTAAAATAAGTAATGAATTTGAAAGACTTGTCTGAAGAAAATTGAGTATTTAAAGGCTTTTTATATGTTACTTCAATTTTCCTTGTAATAATACGAGATATAATAATAATAATACAAGATAGTAATTATATATATTTTAATTTTTCTCTTTTTCATTTTTTTTTAACTTTTACTTATTATACATACTCATCATATTTAGGTGCACAGACTATCGCTATTGCCTCAGCCATCAGCAGTTGATAAGCACAATGTGTATGTAAATCCACACTCGACAAAAATGCAGTTTGTGTAGGGTGAGTCTGTTGCAATAACGATATTTAATCTAGTAACTATTTACTATATATATATATATATACATGTATGTGTATGTATATGTACACACATACGCACACACATATAAACAATTTACTATATAATACAGAAGATACATGCTTTTTGAGCGTTACAGAAAAATTTGATCATGAAATTTTAACAGGATCTTTTTAATCGAAAATAATAAGCTAATAAACTATTATATCAAGGAACTATTATAACTGTTGTTTTTGATCAGAAACAGAATATAGTTGATATAATGGAAATGAGCTGTACATACAAGTAAATTAATTAAAATCTACATACATGAATCCAGCCAAGGGTAATCAGATTATGTTGGTCCTGATAATCAAAGATATCTTCCTCATTGTGCGTGGTGCAAGAATCTGGAGTACTGGTTTGTTCAGGAATAAGCAGATGTGTTACTAATAATTTATTTCTTTCCAATTTACCAGCTAGAATGCCACAGGTTTCTTTATTGTTCATCGTATTACTGGAGGCAAGTGTGAGGAAGTCGCGCATCAATTTGTTTGATAGGATAACATCGCGTAAGGATGAACCATCACTCATCAATAAAGAGGGTTTGGTCGAACGATCTATTGTTGGTATTTTTCTATATAAAACAAATTAGGCAACAATATTTTATATAAAATCATCATCTTTTAAAAGCTTAAATATTGTAGAATTTGAAGAACAATATATAACTTTTTATAAAGTAAGACTTACGTATCTTTGTAAGTACATGTTTTGTCATTATCACTTGAGGGACTTATCACAGGCTTGACAGGAGGTACAACAGGCAATAACTTAGTCTTTGATTCTTCTGGTAATACCATATTTGAGCCGATAGTAGCTTTTAGTGCCTTAATAGCAGCTATAGTAGCTACCTTATTTTTCCTCTCTTCTTCTTCTTTTTGTCTGAATGAAAACCAAGTAAACAGCAAAGACAATTATATATATATATATATATGTGTGTGTGTGTGTGTGTGTGTGTACAGATTCATTGGAAATTTCTTGTAAAAGTAATATAAATAATTATTTTAATACTTCTGAAGTTCCTCTTGTTTTAATCTTTCTTTTTCAATCCTTTCTTTCTCCTTTAAATCCTCTAAATATTTGTCTAGATCTGCCTGATATTGCTGCAATAACTGTTTCTTCAACTCTTCTGCTTTGGAAAAAACAATTCGCAAAGTATATCTATTCGTGTCTTTATCTTTAGCTGATACACTGTTATATTGTGGATGTTTTGTAATTTTATCCACAAAAAGTCTGTTCAAATAAATAATACATATGCATATTTAGAAATATTTAATTATATAATTTATATGTATATAAATATAAATATATTTAATAAAGAATAAAAGTATAAAAAATTACTAGTAACTACTAAATTATTAATATTATATACAATATATCATACAATAAGCACATAATAATAAGTATATAATAAATTTGATTGCTTATCAATATTACCTACGTTATGAATTTCATATACAGAGTATAGGCACACTCATAGTTTTGATCTTTCATGCACATGTCGGCATATCTAACTATTTCTACTCCAGAGCGATAATACCTGAAATTGAGAGAAGCTTAGTTTATGAAGAAAGATATTCTAATTCTTTTCGATTAATATAAAAATCAACTTTAAAATTTTTCACATAAAATTTATATTTATATATATATTCATGATATTAAAAATATAAGTATATATTTTGAGATACTCAACCTGTGAACAGGCATATGAGGATCTACACTCACTGAAGAGGCTTGCTCTGCGAGTAATTTGAGTCGTTCTTTGGGATCTGTACCTAGATCCTCCCTCAATCGCCTCTTATCCATTTTGTTGGTTATATCTGCACTGTATACTAACAATTACTTTATTTTTTAGTTATTAAAAATTTTATATATATAACCATTACATTTTTTAATATTCCAATGTTGAAAATACTTTTTTTAGTATCATTAATGGCGTAATGTAAAATTGGGAGCGGAAAATGGGGGGAAGAATAACACTCGATTCTCTTGTTCCTTTTATCAAAATTCGTCGAAACCGATAAACTACATTACTTTGCTAGGTTAACTCTGAGACGAAAGTTTAGCTCTGTTGTTTGGTCTTACTATTGAAAAATGCAAGTTCATTTGACCCATCAAGTTAAATCTCGTATTATTGGAAATAAACGTTCTCCTGACGTTTAAATGCAATATTTTAAACTAAAGAGATTATTTAATAACTTATTTACTATTTAAAAATAGCAATTTCTCTGCCCTATTATCGGGTCACACTACGACTTCGATTTTTTATTAAAGGCGTTAGCGACTCATAGCGGAGTCTTTGGAACTAATGAAAATAACCGACCAAATAGTAATGAGTCACTTAGCCAAGATTCAAACCTCACTTAATCAAGATTCAAATACGTCCTTTTACACGATACCGCTGTATGGCGCCAGGTGATCCATTAGCCAACTTTCCACACAACGAGCCTGGTTGGGTGATTTCAATTTTTTATATTAGAGATATGTTTATTAGGTATTTCTACGGCATAATATTATATTAACACACACACACATATCAATGAATTTGCATGTCTAAACTTTGAAATGGCAAATTGCTATGATATAATTTCTGGATGATCGTACAAATAGTTTGAACCTAATAATATCTTGTTGAATTTATTATAAAATAAACGATACAAAAGAAAAGATTCGGCTAAAGCTAAATTCGGACTGATTCGTCGCGGAAGGTGGAATTTTGCTGACCGTCTCTGACTATCACTGATCTTTACTGACTAACTTTACTGACTGTCGGTCTCTCATTAATTCTCTATCTCTGAGTGGCTGTCACTAATTAATTGTCGCTCGCATTCATATGTCCGCCCGCATTCCTCCGGAAAACAAAAGTCAAACACATCGCGTCATAGAAAAGGGAGGAACGGAGGGCGCATAGCAACTGCATGACAAGGTATTCCGTTTAAAAAAACAATCGCTCTCGAGAAAATCACACTTAATAATATTTCGGGGCGACCGGCGTTCGTTGCCTACAATATATTTAATGATACAATATATATATATATATATATATATCTAATATTTTGGATATTAAAACTATTTTAAGTATTTTACACATTCCAGACTGCAGATTTTTAACAAACATATAAAGTACTAGATCTGTTTTTTTGAATTATTAGATTACATTTTCTATATGTAATCTTTTAAATGCTGTAGACACATATATACATTCAGCAAATGCTATTGACGTAGTGTGAATGTGTATATTATTCATATTCTTTTACATATTTTAACGACGATAAAATTTAATTTATCTTGGCTCATTACTTTTAATCTTGCAAGAGATTCTTTTTCCTCGAAAACGTACGACAATCAACAGTATTCTACTCTTAACGATCGTTTAACTCCAAAATGCTTAGCACACAAAAGATTAAAAAGATTAAACATATAAATTTTAAATATGATATAAGAACAAAAAGGGGAGGAGAGAGAAATTGTAAGAAAGTATAGAAAATACAGCTGAAAAGAACACATCGCGACAGACTTATCGATCTATAATCGATAAAGCGACGCTATAATCGAAAACATTGATGCTTCGAGAGTCGCAATTGATGCTATATTCAGTCAATATGAGCGGATCGCGTCATGGCAGGTTAGACTGCAAAAGTCGCGCTATATTTCTCACAATCTCGGACCGTCGAAGAAAAGTTCGGCGCGCGAGTTGTCGTCGGGAGAACTGAAAATAAGTTTTGTACGTTTGTTAGCAGGATATCGTTAAAAAGACGTCGAAAGCGAATATCTCACGGAGCGGGCCAGGCCGAGAATGCCGAATGGAGTGTCGCGTGTTTGTCGCGTTATGAAATGTTGAGATTACGTTTCTCGACTCTCCGAGCAGCGTCTCGCGCGCAAATTATCGCCAAGAATGCTCAAAATATGTAAGTCTCGTGCATTTGTCCCGACAAAATGCCATTAATAGTTACGGAATGTATCTCACGGATCGCTCGGCGATCCTAATGGCCCATTAGGATCGCCGAGCAAAGTATCGAGTGCCTTTGGATAGATTTGAGTATCTCAATCGTGGCGGTGTTCGGTCAGTTACGATAATCATGGCGGGTGCGGCAATGCCATAGACGTATAATAACTAGACCGCGCATTCGGCCGAAAAGTCGTCAAATATTAGAAAGAAAGAGCATGCTTTGGGGTATCATTCTGTCTTCGTCTGATAATGTTTGGAGTGGAGATTATTTGTATCGTTCGGAACTCCCCTCCTCTACCTTCCTTTTTCATCCCCCCATCAAAGGCTTCTTCATCCTACCACGCGTCTTTAGAAAAAGACAGAATGGTACGTACAGCAACTATCTCTTTCTAATTTCTGACGCGTTCTAGAAAAGGAAGACGTTGAGATCGCGCAGTCTAGATATTATACGTCTATGATATTCGACGAGTCGTCCTGTATCTCTCGCGATCTCGGCTCGTCGAAGGAAAGTTCGACGGACGAACAATTAGTCGGGAGTGCCGAAAGGGAGTTTCGTGCGTTTATCGTAACGGGATATCGTTGAAAAGTCGACGAAAGCGAATATCTCGCGGAACGGACCGTCGGGAGTACCGAGTGAAATGCCGTGCGTTTATCGCGTTATAGTAGCTTGAAGTTCAAATCGTTGTACTTTATGCTGTCGACTTGACGAAGTGCAGTCTCGTGCGCGCGCGCGCGCGCGAATTATCGTCGAGAGTGTCGAAGTGTAAGTCTCGTGTTTCTGTCGTGACGAAATATCGTTAAAAAGCCGAAAGAAAACAAATATCTCGCGAAATGGCCCGTCGAGAGTGCCGAGTGACGAAACGTGTGCACGCCATTTTACGGAAGTACGAAATCCGTATCGTCAGATCGAATCCTGCATCTTCAACCCATCGAAAGTGTTTTGTGCGCGAAATGTCATCGAGAGTGTCAAAAATAAGGGTCGTGCGTTTATTGCGATAGAACAGTGTGAAACAGTCGCAGAAAGTGAATATCTCGCAAAACGAACTCTCAAGGGAGCTGAGTAAGGTTCATCATGCGTATTCATCGCGTGTGGCGGATCCGGCCACTGCTTTCTATGCCTTCAACCCGCTGAAAAGTTGGTAAGTACTAACAGAGTACAAAGTTACAAGAGATGAAGCGTCTGTTATTTCTGCACGTCGAGCGAAACTGAATCTTAATTTCCACCGAATGAAATTTGCCTCGTTTGAATAATATTTTATTTATTTGCTGATTATTTCTCGGGAATGTGACGAGTAACGGGGGAAGTGGCAGCAAAAAGGTCAAGAAATTTCCAGTGTTATTTTTAATTATATAACATACATGGTTACATTGAAAGCATTACAAGTGAGAATAAAAAAAAGGAAAAAAGAGAGGAAAGGTCTCTCGATCTTTGTGTTTCGTAGAGAATTAATTTTTGTCTCGCGATCAAGATCGTAAATTTTCCTTGCTATTCAAGTTTTCGTTTTAAGTCACTTATCCATTTGCACTTGACAAAAGCGATGATAATTCGGTAACTGATATACAATAAGACAACAAGGAATACACTCCAGCATAGAAATGGCGCATAATAATCCAGCCACGATATATCACGTCCGTGGTACCGCAAATGTCTCGAGTCTGGAAACTTCAATACGTGTTCCACACTCCATATCGCTCTTTCCATTGGCTTTATTAATTCATCCTTGACAATTGCCGACATCCTTCTGATATTGTTCAGATACCTGCAATTCGAATTTTTTTAAGACAACGCGCACTCGATAGCACTCTCTATCAATTTGGGTGAATTGGAATTCTAAATTTTATCCAATATCAAGACGTCGAAGATAAGACTGATTAACCGCACTTAATCTTGTAATCTCAGTCGCGTTATTGGATTCGGATTAAGAGTTCGCAAATTATAATACGTTAACTGATGTGATTGAAATAAGACTAACGCGCGGAGATGAAGACTACCGATCGCTAGTGACTGTTTAGACTGCCAACTCATTTGTCGTAACGCGCGGTAATCGGCGGTCGTCACTCGCTATTGAAAATAATGAATTTCAATTGCAGTTTCCAATATTCCAAAAATATTTTTCAAGAAAATCCTGGAGATTCTTGATTCGATAGCCAATCGTCACATATCATTCGTAAATGCGTACAGTCGCAAGAATAGCGATCGAAATGACGAAGTGCCGGTCGGGATTAACTTTCGAAAAGTCACATTCTCGAAGCGATTCCGTTCGAATCGCGTCGTGCTCACGTTTTATTTTCGACGATCTCCGTGAGCGTTTGTACGATGGAGCCCTCGGTCATGGTGTCGATGTCCAGTGTCAGTCCGATACCGGCGTCTAGGATTTTACGTGCGTTGAAAAGTTGATCCCCGAAAAAGGGGATCGCGACTACCGGAACCGAGTGGTGCACCGCCTCTTGCAACGACTGCAATCCGCCTTGCATCACGTACGCTATCACTCTGGGATGCGCTGCATATATAAAAGCGTCGTAAGTACATAAAGTATCGTGAAATGATGCTTCACGGATTATTTGCTTGTCGAGCGCTTATACGGTGGATCGACGCGGCGCGGCGCGTGCGGACAGCGGAGAAAAGCAAAGCGACGAAATAGGGAGCGAAAGAAAAAAAGGGAAAGAGAGAAAAATGAAACAAAAAAGATAAAAAGGAGAATAAAAAAGAGGAAAAGAACGAGGAACAAAGTTTCAGTGATCAGAGCGCGACCGAGAGGTGCGACGCACGAAATTTCATAAAAATGTCCGTATTGTCATATTTATTTGTTCGCGTGCTTTCTTTTTTTTTTCACGGTCGACTGATCATCGTGTCCAAGTATTAACACGTTTGAAATTTGTTGGATGCAGTTCTCTCTCTCTCTCTCTCTCTCTCTCTCTC